GGTGGGCTGGAGTCTGACCTGGAGTGCGGGACTAGACTGGGGAAGTCCCCACAAACGTGGGAGCTTCTAAGACAGGAACTGAGAGGCTCAGGGACTGGGTGGAGAGAGGAGGAAGAGGTCTTCCGCCCCCCAGCTGCGGTTCCCCCTAAACTTCCGCCCCAGACCTGTTCTTCCCGGTATCAACCTGACACTATCTCCACCCCACCTCTCCGGTTCCTCCCTGGTCCTCTTCTAAGTCTTAGGGAGAAGCCATGGTGTTGAGACTCGTTTTGTTTGTTTGCTTGTTTCGAAGACAAGTTCTCATTCTGTATTCCAGTCTGGCCTGCACTTCATTATGCGGCCCAAGCTGGCCTCGAACTCACGACAATCCTCCTGCCTCAGTCTCTCCGATGCTGGGAAGTCAGGAGTGCTCTCTCACGCCCCGCCCAGGCTGCTTAGTTTTAATAAAAATTTCTTCTGTCCATCGGTCGGTGCAAGTCTCCCAGCCGGACTCTTTCCCCAGCCATCTAGGCCGAGGCCCGCGCTCTGTGTCTCGGTCCCCCTCCCGGTGGGGGCGGCGCCGTGACGCGCGGGGCGGGAGCAGGAAGGGGGTGTTGCTGACGCCGCGGCGGCCTCCGGCGGCTCCGGCCTTTTGTGCGGACCGCGGGGTCCGTTGGGGGCGGCGGCCGAGGCAAGCGAGGCCCGGGAGGCCCAGCTCAGCGCAGTCGGCCGGGTCGTGCCCTGAAGCCGGGGCGCCGCATCCATGTTCGAGTAAGCGGCGGATCTCGGGGTGGGGAGCCGGCAAGGCGGCGGGATCCGGCCGGGGCAGGGGGCTGGAGCGGGTTCCCAGAACTCGTGCATGTTGGAGCGACACCGATGGGGACCGGGAGCTGGGACACGTGTCTCGGGGTGCGTGGGGGCTTGCAACCCGGCGGTAAGGCCCGAGCTTGGGGCGTCACTGCCGACCTGGGACGCGCACGGGCAGCGGGGCGCTCCCCCAGGCCTAGATCGTGCCTCTTGATGAGCCCTAACCCGGCTCCCAGATGAAGGGACCACTTCGAGCCGCCCCACGCCCTTCAATTCTAGGCAGGCCCCGCAGCCCTTCGGGTTGGTGGACCCCGTTTGCCGTGGCGGCTGGGAGAAGGAGCTTCTTTGAGACCGAGATCTAGGTGGGGTGAGGGTCGTCTGTGTTCCTACCTGAACCCCCATTCCCGTCTGGTTCCCTGTACCCACGGGTTTCCGTTTGTGATTGTCTTGGAAATGCCTGAACTCTGAGTGGGGTGTGTGTGTGTGTGTGTGTGTGTGTGTGTGTGTGTGTGTGTAAAACAGCTGGGACAGCTGGGATCCTTTGGGGCAGTGTTTGTGTGGCTCTCTGCGTGTTATCTATCATCTTGTGTGTGATGTGGTGGCGACCCGGTTGAGTGCCTCTGGGGCGCCTGGACCCACCGTGGTCGAACTAATTTTCTTTGTGGCGCCATGTGCAAATTAGACGTTCGGAGCTTGTGCCTCATTGTGACTTTGGAGTGTCTTGAGGCGGTTTGGGGGGTTCCAGGTGTACAGCGGTCGCAGAATTCCACCTCTGGCAGTGCCTGTAATTTACCATGAATGACACCTGTGCTTTGAAGGGTCCCTGTGAGTTGCCACTGTGTGAGCCCCCATTGTGATTTTAGTATGTGTACATGGAAGGCCGGGGCTCTGCTGCTGTGTGTCTGACATCCACCTTTGAAAGCCTTTTGACTCAGTGGACAAGAGGAGACTGTAAGTGTCTACCTGTGACGTTGTTGTGTGGCTGTGGGTAGCTGTAACTTACCTCTGGTTCCATCCACAGGAAGGTTCCTGTGTATCCATTTGTGACACGGTCGTTGCCTGTCCCTGGGTGTGGGGGAGATTCTGTGAGCCTCTCAGACCCTTTGTGGCTTTAACTGTGAAGAGAGACAGAGAGACCCCTTGTGGCTTTCTTGGCTGAGGACCCTCCTCCTGGAACCTTGGGTGTAACCTTAACTACTCTGTAAAGCCAGCCCCAGGCTTCACCAGCTTGAGGCTGTGTTATCCCTGAGTCGCTCGAGGCTATGGAATGTCAGGGTGCTGTCTCTGTGACCACTGGTAATTACATTCCTGGAGAACCGGCCTTTGTCTTGTTTTCTCTCACCCTGAAGTCAGAGGGAGAGTCAGGATGGGTAGGTTGACCTAATAACTTACCTTCGGGATGTATGTGACTAGGTGACCTGTGAGTAGGCTTGTGGCTTTTGCTGCTATTCTTGTCTTCAGTGTTTCTCTAAAACTTTGCTGTGGCTTTATATGTGAAGCTAATTTATCTTGAACTTACTGTGTTTCTCTGAATTTGGAACTAATTCCGGGGCTCTGTGTGACTATAGCTTATTTGTGGTGTGTGTGTGTAATGTATAAATTTCCTGGCACTTGTGTACGACTACGACGTACAGTGCTGTGGTTGTTTATGTTTGTGACACTCCTGTGCTTTTGACAGACAGACAGGAGACAGGAGAGATTAGCTTATCATACCTGCAGGCAAGTTTGCCTATGACAGGGTATCCCCAGCCAGGTTTCCCTTTCCTGCGCACCTGCGTGTTCTTGCCCCCTCTACCCAGAGGCAGTTTCTGAGGCCCAGGAAGCCTGAGCATCTTGCACAAGGGAAACCCATTCTCTTCCGAGTCCCCGCCCCATCTCTCGCCACTTCTGACCCCTCCCTTCACTCTGCCAGGACTGGCTGACTGGCGTGGGCCGCCCTCTGGCTCTTCTGCTGGCCCTGGAGAACTTCCTCTTGGTCCCATCCAGGAGCAGTAACTGGAAGATGAGCTTGACTAGTCTGTGCCTCCATCCTGCCCAGTAGACCTGGGGCTTCAGAATAGGCCAGGCCTGGGTTAAAGGCCAGAGGTGAGAAGGGGCCACAGGGAGTGGTGGTCACTTTCTCCCTAGAATCAGGACGGTGGCCCAGGGTCTTCAGGCGTGTGTTGTGAGCCCGTGAGTCCTCCTCAGCTTTGCTGGTGGTCCGCTATCCTCAGACCTGCCGGCCTCAGTCCTGGCTCTGAACCTGTTGTCCCGAGTGAGTCTAGCACTGTCTTCTCCCACCCTTTGCCAGCTCTGTTCTTTGTCCTCAGCCCTTGGCCTCAGGGAGCCTTGCCCAGCTAAGCCTTTGCAGTCTGGCTCACTTAAGTAACCCTGGCTGCTCCTATTGATTCGGTCAAAATTCAATGCGTTTCAAATTGTAAGTTGAGGTTTCCGGTGGGGCAGGGCAGAAGAGAGACTTAGAAGTTTCTTTTTTGTTTTGTGGTAGTCCTGGTGATGGAGTTCAGGGCTTTGTACATGCTATGCAAACACTCTTAACCCTGAGCTGTACCCCACAGCTCCTGCTGGGTAGACAGACTGACTCACACCCCCAGCCTCTCACTGCTGACTTCTAGACAGTCTACTGCTGAGCCATGTCCCCGGTCCTTCACCAGTAGGTTCAAGGCCTTTGAGCTACACACTCGCAACTCTGGAATTCTTAAAACTGAATCTTGGTATCAGTCTAAGCTGGTCTCAAACGTGTGATCCTCCTGCCTCCGCCCTGGAGTACTGCATTAACAGGAGTGCATTCCTACCTCCTCTGGCTAGAATCTGTATTCCTTGGTACTGTTGGCAGTGGTGCCCTGTGGGCTTTGCTGAGCTTTATAGCAATGGCAGGTGATTGCCCTGATCTCTGTGGCTTTTTTTCGTGATGTTCTGGCCCCCTGGTTAGTTCAGCCAGTCCCAGCAGCAGAGAGTTCGAATCTGCGTCTCCTACTGCCACCTTCAGGGTAAGCTGTATGTTTAGACCTATACGTTTAGACAGCAATAGGAAGGCCTATGACACCAGCTGAGGTCCCTCCAGGGTCAGCATGGCTTCTTGGACAGTTCACTCCATTTCTGCAGCCGTGCGAAGGGAAAGCTGTTGCACATGGCTTCTTTGTCCCCTTGTCTTACACGTCACGTCGCCTCCAAGTAGCCCTAGGAGGTCAGAACACCAGGTGTGAGCAAGGCTGGGGAAGGTGCAGATGCTGGCCCAAGGCTCCACACGGAGGCGCTGGCTGATGCCTCTGAGACTGGAAGGAAGCCTTGGAGTTCAAGTGTGGTGGGTCCCAACTCTGAAAGGGAACAAGCAAGCGTGATCGCTTCGCTCCGGTCATGGCGGTGCCTACTCATGGGTACCTGCTAGGCAATGTGGAGAAGGATGGGGACCCGGGGGGGGGCAGCATGTCGCTGGCAGATACTCTGAGAACAGAGCAGCTGAGAGGGTCGGCATAGAGCTTGGAGATACGTCTGTGCAGCCCAGGGCTGCCTCACATCCAGTGGGGGAAGAGCAGAGGGAAGAACGGAGACGGGAGCCAGAGGAGCGGTAGGTAGTTCAGATGATGAGGGCCAGGGAAGAGCTGTAGGCTTTCCTGGGGTAAGCAGGGTGGGAGCACCTGGTGCCGGTGGGCATAAGCTTTCCTGACCTGTACGTTGGGGCAGATGGATCTCAGACACCAAAGCACGGTGACCACAGGCACTGGGCTGGCCCAAGGGGACAGGTAATGGCCCAGGCCAATGTTCATGTCCTTTTATTTAGTCACAGAATTTATTAAATGAATTTAGTTTATAAGAGTCCTGTGACTTTTTTTGCAGCCCATCTGAGCAGGGATAGGGCAGAGTGGGAACTAAGACAGCTCCCAGGCTTGTCCCTGGAAGCCCATGGAACCTATCACCGCAGAAAAGTCACATCTGGGTGACTGCTGCCCCGGCACTGTATGGGAACCTGTGGAAGGGAGGGGCGCACCAAAGTCTTGAAATGTGCATAAGAATTTTCCAGGCCGCAGAATGGTCGTGTAGCCAGTAAGCCGATTGAGCACCAACTTTTCACTGTTTCTTGGTATGATTACAAAAGCAGTGCCAGCCACACCTTAGCTTTAAAAAAAATCAGCCAGGCATGGTGGCACAGGCCTGTTATCCCTGCTACTATTCAGGAAGTGGACACAGGACAATCAAAATTCAGTCCCAGCCTAGAGTACTGAGTGAGTTCAAAGCCAACCTGTACAACTTAATGAGAGACAATGCCTCAAAATGAAAAGGAAAGGAGGTCTAGGGGCATGACTCTATGATGAAGCCCTGCCTAGAATCCCCCAGTGAGGGGCTGGGGTGTGGCTCATTGGTAGAGCCCCTACTTATAATCCCCCAGTGAGGGGCTGGGGGCAGGGGTCTTGACTTAGTGGTAAAATGTCCACTAAGCATACAAGGTTCTAGGTTCAAATCCCAACTCAGCAAAAAAAGAAGAAAAACATACAAATACACACACACACACACACACACACACAAAACCCAAACAATTACAGGGCGAAGAAGAGCAAGAGAAGGACAGCAAGAGGAAGTGACATGTACTAAAGATTATAGACAGGAGAGACATTTGAAGAAACATCCTGGGGGGTGGCGAGATGGCTTAGTGGGCAAAGGTGCTTGCTGCTGAACCCAACCAGCCAGGTTTGATTCCTGGGGTCCACATGGTAGAGGGGGAGAACCAAATTCTGAAAAACTCTGATATTCCAAAATAGATCTGTGTCACCTGAGTTAGAATCGTTCCCAGAAGGCAGTTGTGCCTCTCTCTGCCGGCGCCTTATGCTCGTAGCCTCAATTTCCACTGGAAAGCCGGACGGTCATGGGGCCAAACACAGTGTTCTTGAGCAGTGGTGGTAGCACACGCCTTTACTCCCAGCTTTCAGGAGGCTGAGATAAACGGATCTCTGTGAGTTCGAGGCCAGCCTGGTCTACAGAGTGAGTTCCAGGACTAGCTCCAAAGCTACACAGAGAAACCCTGTCTCGGGAAGAAAAGAAAAAAAAAAGTCAATCACTCACTTGACATAATCCCGATAAGAAATCAACAATGGTGTCCTTTTAAAGTCCCTGCCACTCACCCCCCCCCACACACACACACACTGCCAGTATTGCAGTTAGTGTTTGCACAGTTACCAGAATGTTCTGTTTGCTTAACGTCTGCCTCCGGCAGGAGGTAAACTCACCAGAACCAAGCCATATTCCAGGCCCCTTGTCAGTGCTGGTTGCAGCCAGCTCAGGGCAGTTCTTTCAGCCCCACAGTGTTTATTAAGCATTAATTATATTCCCTGTCTTCAGTTCAGGTGCCAGGGGTGGAGATAACAACCAAGACTTCCTCCAGTTCACAGTGTAGGGCAGGCAATAAACGCACTGAATAAACAAATGAGCAAGGTGAGTGCAGATAGCGGGCGGGCGAAGAGGGAGAGCGGTGCCTCCTAGGAGCCGAGGGACCGTAGAAGAGGAGCGCTAAGAATGAATGAGATGGAGTCGATTATACTCAAGTTGTGGGTGGGCTTTTCCAATGCAGGGAACCACAGATGTGGAATCCCTGATGCGGGAATGACCCTGGGAGCTTAAAGAACAAGAGGAATGACTGGGACAGCCAAGGGGGACATGGGGCTGGGGAAGTAACAGGACCTGGTCACATTAAAGTTAGGGCTTAGAGAACCCTGAGATAACTCAGCTGGTCACCAGCTTCCCAGGCTGGGGGTGAGAAGAGACTGTGTGGGGGGCATGGACAGGAGCAGAAACGAAAAAGAAAACTTCCGTGGCAGATGTGTAGAAAGGAATGGAGGCTGGAAGGAAGAGAAGTGGCCATGAAAGGTAAAAGGGAAGCAGGTGTTAGAGGTGGTGAGACAGTGAACAAATTAAAGATGAGGGCAAGGCAAGGGAAGACATTAAGAGAGATGCTACCGGGGCTGGAGAGTGGCTAAGAGCCTATGTCGCTCTTTCAGAGAACCTGGGTTCAGGTCTCTGCGTCCATATGGTGACTCACCACTTCCTGTAACTCCAGTTCCAGGAGATCTGACGCCCTCTTCTGGTCTCCATGGGCACTGCACACCTGTGGTGCACATAAACACGCATACACACACTACTTGCACAAATACATAAAAATAAATGACACTTTTTTAAAAAGAAAGGTTCTTAGGTTTGCATTTCGAGTGTCACTGTTTATAAAGGTTTGCTTTGTGAATAAATTAGTAAGATAATGTTCAAAAATTACCAGGTGTTGGGCCAGTGAAATGGCTTTTTCAGATAAACACATTTGCCATGCAAGCTGGATGTCCTGGGTTAAACCCAGAAGCTGTCCTCTGACCTCCACTTGTGGTCACAAAATAGCAGGTGTCATTGAGAGCTCACTGTGCCTAGCTGCATTAAAGAGACTTCACAGTTTGGTTCCTTTACACCCCAAAACAACGAGGTGTGACATCACCATTCCCTGGGTTACAATGAAGCAGTAGAGACATGGGAATGTTCAGGGACAGGCTCTAGGGTCAGAGAGACAGGAAGCAGGTGAAGGGGTGAGTGAAGAGGAGAGGAGACGGATGGATGGATTGAGGGATGGATAGGCTGGTAGATGAGTAAGTATAGGGGTGGTAGATGGATGAGTGGCTGGATGGGGTATAGCTGGGTAGAGGATGCATAAATTAGTGGATGACTGGTTTGGCAAATGGATGAGTGGATGGAAGGACTGATAGGTAGATGGCTAGATTGGCGGATGAATGGATGGATAAATATAGTTGGATGGATGGATGGATGGATGGATGGATGGATGGGCAGACAGAGCCACTAGATAATGGACACACTTTCAAAATCAGGTTTATCTGTGCCCTGGCCTGTTTTCACCTACCCACTCCTCTTCCTCTCTCTTCCTAGCACCACACCCCATTCTGGCCGGAGCTCACCAAGCAGCTCCCCGTCTCTTCGGAAACGGCTGCAGCTCTTGCCCCCAAGCCGACCTCCTCCTGCTCCTGAGCCAGAACCAGGCACCATGGTGGAGAAGGGGTCTGATAGCTCCTCAGAGAAGAGTGGTGTGCCTGGGACCCCCAGCACCCAGAGCCTGGGCAGCCGGAACTTCATCCGTAACAGTAAGGTATGTGTGAGCTCAGGTGGGTTTGGTAGAGGGTGGCCAGGGCGGAGAACACAAGGGTTCTGTTGTGGAACGTTAGCTGAAGATGGGTTGCATTCGTTGATGCTGTGGAGTGGCTTTAATGATGCAAGGATGTGTTGCCTTCTTTTGTTTTTATTTGTTTAACTCTGTGAAGCTATGTTACTTTTCCTGCCTGAAATTCTCAATTGGTCTAATAAAGAGCTGAATGGCCAATAGCGAGGCAGGAGAGGGGTAAGCGGGGCTGCCAGGCAGATAGAATAAATAGTAGGAGAAACAGAAAGAGGGAAGGGGTGACAAAAGGAGAGGAGGAAGCCAGGAGTCAGCCACACACAGAGACACTTAGTAAGAAGTAATGAAAGACATCTAGAATAGAAAAAGGTAAAGTCCAGAGGCAAAGGGTAGATGGGATAATTTAAGAAAAGCTGGCTAGAAACAAGCCAAGCTAAGGCTGAGTATTCATAAGAAAGAATAAGAATCCATGTATTTATTTGGGAGCTGGGTGGTGGCCCCCCAAAGACTAAAAGATTTTATAAAAACCCAACTCCTCCTGACTCATCTCATTCTCTTGCAGAAGATGCAGAGCTGGTACAGTGTGAGTATCTGCACATGGGGCTTGATAAAGGTATGGGAGGGACGGTCTGCCTGCCGGGAGCCTCCAGGGAGTGGGTGATACTTAGAGACCCACACGTGAGACGCTTCTGTTTACACACTGGATCGCATGCTGCTATGATGCTCTCTGAGTGGCCTTGGGCGAGTCACTTAACCTCGCTGAGACTTCCTTTCCCTTCCTTAAGAAACAGCAGCCCAATCTTGCAAGGCCAGAGGGATTTGGGGAATTAAGTAGGATTCACTAATGCCAGTGGTGGTACCTTACACAGAAGCTGGCTCATATATGTCAGTAATATGGCTCCACGATTTAGAGTACTGGCTGCTCTTGCAGAGGACCCAGGTTTGATTCCCAGCACCCGTGTATGGCAGCTCACAACTGTCTGTAACTCCAGTTCGAGGGAAATCAGATGCCCTTTTCTGACCCCCACCTGCACTGGGCACATATACATGTAGGGAAAACACTCATACACATAAATAATTTTTAAGTCAGTAAATGGCAGGTGACCTTATGGTGACATGTGTATTAGGAACAAAGAGTTCCCAAGGGCTGAGAAAAAGAGGGATTGAAATCTTTTGGGTCCCAAATAGGGGCTTGGAATCTGCACTCAGGTTCCCATGTCCCAAATCTCTTGGCAGATGCTGAGTCCGACGTATAAACAACGCAATGAGGACTTCCGAAAACTGTTCAGCAAGCTCCCTGAGGCAGAGCGCCTCATCGTGGGTGAGTCTCCGTGCCCCCAGCCCCCGTCTCTGACCTGGATCTCTGCCTCTGTCCTCCTTCGGGCCTCCCTGCAGGCCCGTGGGTTGCCAGCCACAGCATGTGTGACTCAGATGTCTGCCTGTCTCTCCCTTGGCTACTCTCAGATTACTCCTGCGCCCTGCAGCGGGAGATCCTCCTCCAGGGCCGCCTCTACCTCTCCGAGAACTGGATATGTTTCTACAGCAACATCTTCCGCTGGGAGACCACAGTGAGTTGAGCCGCAGGTGGATACAGAGGGGCGTCCAGATGGGCGGGGCCTCCGGCTCGTTCTCACGGTCCCGTGCTGTCTTTAGATTTCCATCCAGTTGAAGGAAGTGACCTGTCTGAAGAAGGAAAAGACCGCTAAGCTCATCCCCAATGCCATTCAGATCTGTACGGAGAGTGAGAAGGTGAGTGGTGGACCTGATATGGGGAGCATTAGGGTTACCGCAGGGATCCCCCAGCTCACCCAGACATGCCTGTCAGAGCAGAGCCCCGTTTGTATTACTCCTGGCCTGTTTATTCCCAGCCCTTGCACCCCTGATTTTGACTGGGGTTTCTCCTTCCTATACGATGTCTCCTCACATAGATGTCCAACAACACAGTGATCCTGCAGTTTGCCATGAATCCTACAATTCAGATGCCCCCACCCAGCCAAAGCTGGGATTGGAACCCAGGCCTTTACGCCTGCCAGACCAACACTCCACCACTGAGCCATCTCTCTAGATCATTTTTGTTGGCTTTTTCTTTTGAGGGGCAGGGTCTCTCTACATAGCCCTGGCCGTCCTTGAACCTGCTCAGTAGTCAGGCTGGCCTTGAGCTCACAGAGATCCACCTGTCTCTGCCTCCCAAGTGCTGGGATTAAAGGCTTGTTTGTTTAAAAATATTTATTTTTATTTTGTGCTTATGGGTGTTTGTCATGCATATGTGTACCACATGCCTGCAGTGCCCATGGAAGCCAAAAGAGGGCACCAGATCTCCTGGGACTAGAGTCAGAGATGGTTGTGAGCTCACTGGGTGCTGGGAACCCAGCCAAGGGCTTTGCAAGAACAGAGAGCACTCTTAACCATGGAGCCATCTCTTCATCCCCTAGACCTTGTTTGTTTGCTTGCTTTTGAGATGGCATCTGCTTGTGTTGCTCAGGCTGACTTCAAATTCCAAATCTTTCCTCTGCCTCCCTGGTGCTGGGACAGCAGCACACCTGGCATTTGTCCATTTGGTTGAAAGATAGCTATGTCATTCTGGGGTCCTAACGGAAACAGGAAGAACCAGACAAAATCTGCAGCAGGCATCCCTCTGTGTTTTGTTGGCCCAAGACTGGGGGAGTTTGATATCCTTGACAGCAGAGAGGGCTAAGAGAGCACTGGGCTTGGCTCTCTCAGCTCCAGGCCTGGGAGAGGTGACTCAATGGGGTGTCGGGAGAGACCGGTAACACTGCTCCCGTCCTCTCTTTCCAGCATTTCTTCACTTCCTTTGGGGCCCGTGACCGCTGCTTCCTCCTCATCTTCCGCCTCTGGCAGAACGCGCTGCTTGAAAAGGTGGGCATGGATGATGCTCAGGGTGGAGGCTGGGGTTCACCAGAGAGGACCCCCAAACCTTGGGAAACTCCTGGTTCTTTTGTGGACACCAAGCCTTGTGCATCTGTGGCTTCTCCCAGGCTCTTGTCGGGGGTAGGCCAAGAGTTCCCACCTCTAGTGTTGAAGCCAAGTCCCTGATGAAGCAAGGAATTGGTATAGACTGGGCTATACCTGTTCCCAGGGAAGCCTC